GATGGGTGTTGAATTGTGGTTAAATGGGTGTTGAATGGGTGTTGAATGGGTGTTGAATGGGTGGTAAATAGGTGATGAATTGGTGTTAAATGGGTGATAAATGGGTGATAAATGGGTGTTAGATGGGTGATAAATTGGTGTTAAAAGGGTGATAAATGGGTGATAAATGGGTGTTAGATGGGTGTTGAATTGTGGTTAAATGGGTGTTGAATGGGTGTTGAATGGGTGTTTAATTGTGGTTAAATGGGTGATAAATTGGTGTTAGATTGGTGTTAAATTGGGTGATAAATGAGTAATAAATTGGTGTTAGATAGGGTGTTAAATTGGATGCTCGATTGAGTGCTAAATTGGGCGTTACATTGGGTGCTAAACCGGGTGCTAGCTTGGGTGCTAACTTGAGTGCTAACTCTGGTGTTAAATTGGGTGCTAGATAGGGTGTTAAATTAGGTGCTAAATGGGTGTTGAATGAGTTAAATGGGTGTTAAATTGGGTGCTCAATGAATGCTAAAGTGGCGTGATAAATGGGTGTTAAATCGGGTGTTAAATGGGTGTTCAGTGGGTGATAAATTGAGTGATAAATTGGGAGTTAAATAGGGCGTCAAATGGGTGTTAGATAGGGTGTTAAGTTAGGTGCTTAATTTGATGCTGGATTGAGGGCTAATTTGGGTGTTTGATTGCGTGTTAAGTGAAGTGCTAAATGGATGTTAATTTGAGTGTTAGACAGGATGTTGATGGATGTTGATGGATGCTGAACTGGGTGCTAAGCTGGGTACTAAATTGAGTGCTACATGTGTGCTGAAATGGGTGCTAAATGTGTGTTTACTTGGGTGCTAAATGGATGCTGAACTGGATGCTGAACTGAGGGCTAAACTGCAAAACTGGGTGTTAAACTGGATGCCAAACTGGATGCTAAATTGGGTGATAAATAGATGATGAATGGGTGTTAAATTGGTGTTAAATGGGTGTTGAATGAGTTTAATGGGTGTTAAATTGAGTGCTCAATAGATGCTAAAGTCGGGTGATAAATTGGGTGTTGAATTGGTGTAAATCGGGTGCAAGATGGGGTGTTATATTCGGTGCTAAATTGGATGCTGGATTGAGCGCTAAGTTGGGCGTTACATTGGGTGCTAAGTTGGGTGCTAAGTTGGGTGCTAACTTTGGTGCTAACTTTGGTGCTAACTTTGGTGCTAACTTTGGTGTTAATTTGGGTGTTAAACTGGGTGTTAGATAGGGTGTTAAATTAGATGCTAGATGAGGTGCTAAATTAGGTGCTAAATGGGTGTTAAATGAGTTAATGGGTGTTAAATTGGGTGCTCAATGAATGCTAAAGTGGGGTGATAAATTGGGCGTTGAATGGGTGTTAAATTGGGGGTTAGATTGCGAATAATAAATTCCCAATTTTTTAATGGGAATTCAGTCCTGTGCACTTAAGAGAGACGCGGAACTTAACAAAATTATTATGGCTCCTCCCCACGATTTTCAAGGTCTACACTAAAAGCCGTGGCGAGTCGCAGGAAGTGGGCTCCTTAACTCCAATACAACCATCTGGGTTATAGCGACTATTACAGTAGACATATCCTAGGACGATGACGTGATGTCCAATACGTACACAGATACGGGCCAAGAGAACCATGAGGCCGTGACTAACAGAAGGCGACGGGCCGAGTTTCGACACTTGGTACGTGGATGGGAGTTGTTTAAAGGTTTTATATGTATTCATTGTATAATTTAGTGCCTTTGGTGGGCACTAAAATTGGGTCAGTATAATAAGGCACTATATTAGGGCACTACGGGGATCTATATTAGGGCACTAAAGTGGGGCACTGAATCAGGGTACTGAATTAGGAACCTAGAGCAATAAGCCAGAGCACTAAGTCCGGGCCCTGAATTGGGGCACTAAAATAGGGCACTGAGCTCGGGCACTATATTAGGGCATCGTATTGCGGCTCTATATTGGGCATTATATATTGGGAATTATATTGGGGCACTATCCCAGGGCAATACCCAGGGCACTGAAGTATGGCATCGGATTCGGGCGTCGGATTCGAGAATTGTGTTGGGACACTATTTTTGAGCACTCAATTAGCGCACTAACATAGGGCACTAAAGTAGGGCACTAAAGTAGGGCACTAAAGTAGGGCACTAAAGTGGGGCACTAAAGTAGGGCACTCAAGTAGGGCACTCAAGTAGGGCACTCAAGTAGGGCACTTAATCAGGGCACTTAATCAGGGCACTAGATTCGAGCATTTTTTGGGACTCTTTATTGGGTATTTTCTTGTACAGACATTGGCACTCTATTGGGGCACTATAATAGGGCACATCGGGCCCCGAAATCTTCCCTCGACCTATGGGTCTGGCGGTGCGGGCCAAGTCGACGCGACTCTGGGCGCCCCTGGCGTTGGGCTGAACACGTGGATATCAAGCCAGGCCGGGCCCTGGAAATGGGGCAGATTGGACATGGAAGGAGGCCGCGAATTGGCTCGATGCCGGGACCCTGAGCCGGGGCTTGAAATCAGGCTCGAAAAAAAAAATCCACCCAAACGGGAAAAAGTAGGGCTCGGGGCGGGGCTACATTGGAGGACTAAATTGGGCCAGTTCAGTCAGAGCGCGGGACCATGGACCCATCATATTGGGCCATCTTTGGGCCATCTTTGGGCCATCTTTGGGCCGTCACTTTGGCCAGTCCAGCCAGTGCGCTGGGCTATCAGCTGGCTGTCCATCATGGACCACTCCGTTCTTTTTTTTTTTTGTTGCGCCGTCACACCGGACCACAGGGCCTTATCATCGGACCATCCAGGACATTTCCAGGCCCGCTATTGAGGGCCGCGAACCGGCCCCAAAAAAGGGCCCCAAAAACGGGCCCCAAAAACTGGCCCCAGCAACCGGCGCCGCGCACTGGCGCCAACTCCCCCGCCGGTTCTCCAAACCACCCTCAACTCCTCCCTCTTTTCCCCCATTCCCCCCTTTTTCCCCCCTTTTTCCCCCCTTTTTCCCATCCAGATCCCACCATGGTCCAAGCCATCATCGCGCCCTCCATCCTCGCGTCCGACTTCGCCAACTTGGGCTGTGAGTGCCGCCGCATGTACGCGCTGGGCGCCGACTGGCTCCACATCGACGTCATGGACGGCAACTTCGTGCCCAACATCTCCATGGGCCCGCCCGTGGTGGCCAGCTTGCGCAGGCACATCCCGCGCAAGGCCACAAACACGTTTTTCGACTGCCACATGATGGTGGCGTGCCCGGAACAGTGGGTGCCGGAGATCGCGCAGGCCGGCGGCGACCAGTTCACGTTCCACTACGAGTCCACGGCCAACCCCGCCGACTTGATCAAGCTCATCAAGCTGCACGGCATGCGCGCCGCGTGCGCCGTCAAGCCGGGCACCGCCGCGGACGTGGTCGACGAGTTGGGCGCCCTGTTGGACATGGTGCTAGTCATGACCGTGGAGCCCGGCTTCGGCGGCCAGAAGTTCATGGCGGCCATGATGCCCAAGGTGGCGCAGTTGCGCGCGCGCTTCCCGCACTTGGACATCCAGGTGGACGGCGGCTTGGGCAGGGACACCGTGCCTGTTGCCGCGGACGCCGGCGCCAACGTGATTGTGGCGGGCACGTCGTGCTTCTCTGCGCCGGAGCCGGCCGAGTTCATCGCGTACATGCGGGACACGGTCAACGCGCGCTTGCGGGAAAAGGGCATCTACACCGGCGAGTAGTGCGGCGGTGGTGCGGCGGTGTGGAGCGCCAGAGACGCCGCGTGTGTTGACATTGCGTAGAGACGACATCTGAGGGGCTGTGTCGGCCGTAGCTGGCGAGTGGCGTGCACTTGATCTGAGACGGTAGAGCGGTGTGCATTGGAGTTGAGACGGCAGTGTGGGTGTGGGCATTGATCTGAGAGAGATCGGCAGTGCTGAGTGACGGGCTCGATTGATGCGCATCAAAGGTGGAGACGGCCTGGTTCGGCCAGGGTCAGATATAGGACAAGGACACTGTTCGTGCCCGGCGGTGGCAAGTGCTGGCTTTTGCCGGCAGAGACGTGTCCGTGTTTATTGCCGAATCTTACAAAGCCCGTGTTTCTTTCTGATGGTAAACGAAAGTTGAAATGGGCCTCTACATGTTCGATTGGCTCGGATATGTGGGCAAGAGACGCTCCCAAGATTTCATTTGAGCTGTGCAAAATGTCAGACAAAGCCAGTTAATTGAACTTATGTGCGTTTCAAGCCTACCACCATAGAGTTGTCCACCATGAAAAACGAAAGAGATCGAGCCAAAAAATCAATATAACCAGGGGCTGAAACAATGAGGAATAATTGCGCTGTCTTGACCCCTGCTAAAGCATAGACCCTGCTCATCGCCAAACTCCAAATACTCATATAGATTGGGTATTAGTGGCGCAATCATGTTACATTGGTAAGGTTATGTTGAAATTAAAAGGTGATTTCAACTTTGAAGGGGTTGATAATGCAAATAGGGACAATGCGATAACTTGTTGGTTTTCAATAGTCTTTTTTCTTTGGGAAGGTTCTGAAAACAAGTATCTGAATGTGTGCAGATGCAATGTTTAAACAATAGACTGTATTTGATGTACTTGCTCTCTGCACTAAATACTTGAATTAGCCGGTGCTTCGGTATTCAGATCTAAGAGCTGGTTTCAGAACTAATACTCAAATGATTTGACTGCGGGCCGTTTGAGTTTGAAAACTCTCTAATGAAGCGTTGATCTTATGATAAAATAATCCATCAGCACGACATCACGAAGATAGCGGGCATAATCCAATGTTCAAGAGGGCCAAATTCACGGCTCTTTAGCTGATAGAAAAGTTGGGTTCGACCAGGGGTGTTTCTAATTATTGTATCCGTTGAAAACAGTTATATTGAGGCAGGCTTTCAGGAAGAACTACAAATCATTCGATTGTGAACTATAGCTACTGAGGGCGAGAACTCTGCTACGCTTGTTATGCTCTTTCAAGTCCACAATATGAGAAAGTCGTTTACGGAAATCAAACAAGTACTATTTTCAATTTAACCAAAGCTTTCTCTGCATTTTCAAGTGCTGTTTCCCTGATCTCCGAAGGTTTACTTGAACTCAAAAGATCTACGCTTCTCAGCACTAAATCTGCCTGCTACTCAAATCGAAGACGGAAACTCATACACAGAAAGATTATCAATACAACATATTATTATGGAGCAACATTTGCAACCTTTATGAATATGAGAAGGGCTCCGTATTGCTTATGATCCAGCATCAAGACTTGCTAGTGCTTTGTAAATGTAGAGTTCTGTTTATTCCTGTATATCTTACGAGTGGAGAAAACATCGAAGAGGCGAAGACCACACCGATGTATTTTTTTGATTTTTTTTGATCTTTTTTGTTTTTTTTGATTTTTTTTTTTCTTTGATTTCTTTGTTTTCAAAACAAATAGAAATTGCGGCCTGTTTCAACCGTCGTTCATCAGTCTACGAGCGATGTGGCAATCAAATTAGTAGCACGGCGCTGTCCATTGACCCAGTGGCCAGCAATTGTCTCAGGTTCTGAGACATGAATATCTTCTTGGTGGGGCTTTTTGAAAATCTTCTTCGCTTATTTCGGCCAACACCAGAAAAGGATTAGATTTAGAGGAGGGCTGTTTCATTGATGGGTTTGACCCCAAGAAAACCTTCTGATCGGTCAGGATTGATCCCGTTGTTGTCGCCATGGTGACGCTCCGTTCAGATCTTTTCCGAGAATTTCTGCGTTTCCTGCCTTGAACTATCCAACCATCATCAGAAATATTAGATACCAAAATATCAGATATTTCAACGTTAGTTCCGACATGTTTGGAGCCCATTTCCTCTCCCGCGTCTTGGGGAGATTCTTGGAGCGAATTCTGAGTGTATTCTTGGCTGAGTTCCAGATCTTTCTCATCAATAGATTCGAAAGCCATGCCCATACCATTGCTGACTACATTCAGGTTCGGCACCTCGTCGTTTCCTATAGTCAAGTCCATAGCCAGAGAACTGCCACAAATCACGTTTCCAAGAGAAGAGAGCTCGAGCTTTCCAGGAACTTTCTTGTATCGTCTGCTTGGGCGTGGTTCCTGATAGTCATTCTCATCGATGTCAGCCAAAACCAGAAAAAGATTATTAGAAAAAGGAGATCCAGGGACAGCGGATTCTAGTTCACTGGCGAGTTTCTCTTCGAAAACAGTTGCCTTAGTCCCAGAAACTGTCTTCACTTTTGTGCTAGTTCTTTTGCGAGAATTTCTGCGCTTTCTCCCCTGAACTTTCCACCCAGACTCCATGTCAATATCTGGGTTAGCGGCAGGCAGCAGAACAATGGCTTCCACTTTAGATATCTCAAGTTCCCCATTGAAAATAGAATTGTTGTCCGGGAACAAGTTTCCTTGCGTTCTTTTGATCTCATCAGTCTCAGTGCAGTCTACAACTACGGCCGGCTTCATAAAGATATCACCAACCAAGGAGCCAAGCTTTGAGTCTGAAATGAAAGAAAGAACGGAAGAAGCACCAGTTTCCCCGTCGGAAAATTCCAAAAAGCTACCGTCGCTTGATGGAGAGAAGGCAGTAGAGCAGTCTGTTTCTGTGGCCTTTGAATATCTGGGATGAATGGGAGCAGAGGCAGCAGCAATTTGAATAGATATTAAATCAGCATTAGTGTTCCCACCAAGAGTCTGAATCTCAGGTTCAGCTCTAAAAGGGCCAGAGTAGTATTCTTCGATTTGAACAGCATTCATGGTGGCAGATTCTGCCTGGACCGAGAGTTCAATAAGGAGCACGACAAGAAAATAGCCTGTGAGGCAGAGCGCGGCGATTTCCGAAACGCAATTGATGAGTCTGAAGCAAAAAATCACTTGTGCAATCATGATGGAGCGTATGTTCGTGAAGAAGGGAGTGATGGACGAGAGTTTGCAAAAAGTGGAGCGAACACCTGTTTATATAGGAAAAGTAACTTTTTGCAGTCGGCGGCCTAACAAAGTATGGCTGCGAAATCAGGCTGTCGATTCGCGGATCGACATCTATGTCGAGTTGCATAATAACTGTGAGGGACCCGGGGAAGACATACGTGTTCATACCCTATATTATCACAAGTTTGAAATAATATGGGCGGCGATTCTGGTATTTAAATTAGTTGGATCAAATGGGAAAAGTTGTGGATGTTGGACGACATTTCATTCGGGCTTCGACATGATATCTGATGGCACCCACAACAGACGTGAATAAAGGGAGTAGGTGCTTTCGGGGATCATCGGCAAAAACTGATACTAGGGCCCGAACGCTAAGATCTATACTTTTACGATCATCACTAGCTCATGTTTCATGTGATGACCGGTATTGACAAAAATAGAAGCTTACTGTGTTCACTGTGTTCTGTACTAGTACTAAAAATACCAGCACACTGTGTCTATTACGTTCTTGGTTGATACGGGCAAAACCCGCTATCCTGTTTTAATATTAATGACTAACGGACGGCTCTACTATATGATGATATCGTTTGTTTGTGTTTGGTGCCCCCGATTGCATGAACCAGGGCGTGTAGATGGCTGCATGGAAACAGGTCTTTGCAGGGTCATACGATTGCCTGGCATGGGTGTTGGTGCAAGACAGGAGGGGATTTTCACTGTTCACGGGCTGTCTCTGAGTCAATTACTGTAAAGATGGAGTGGAAGATCGTCCTTCCCAATTATTGGCGGTCTACACTAATTAGACAATCTATACTACTTAGACAATCTATACTACTTAGACAATCTATACTACTTAGACAATCTATACTACTTAGACAATCTATACTACTTAGACAATATATACTACTTAGACAATATATACTACTTAGACAATCTGTACTACTTAGACCATCTACTCATCAGCGATTTATCCATCGGCATTCTCCACGCAAAATTGTATCTACATACAAAGAGTGTTCTGGAGAGAAAAAACGGACATGGTGAAACTAACGCCTTATCAGGGAAGTGCTGCTCTGAAAAAAGCATGTACTTCTTTGTATTGGGAAATTCCAATTTATACGGATTCAAACCACGTCTTCCTTCCGCAGATAAAAAGTTTACTCATCAGAGGGTGACGATCTTCTGTGCTGGATATGCTCGCTATAATAACGAGCGGTAGATCCAGTAGACCTTCTTTCTTTTACAGACATGGGTGTATCCAGTCTCCCCAATGGTTCACTATGAAAGATGACACACGACAGTATATTCCCATTGTACGTCACCAAAGGCATTGCATCAAACGTTTACCTGTTTAAATTAAATTTCTAGTTATAGAGAAGGAAATGTGATCACAAACATTTTCTTAGCCTACGATAATGCAATGTCCTCATAATCCAAGCTTAGCCATCGGGTTCTGAAGCAAAGTAAGGCAGTCTTGCTCGAAGATGCTCAACTCCAAACCCGCAGACAAGTTAATGAAACCGCGGCCGATCTCAATTCGAAGTGAGCCATCTACATAGCTCAAGGCATGAGACTTCTCACTGCGTACAGTCGATGGCAACAAGAGAACGTCTTCTTTGTCCTTTTCAATCTCTTTTACTGGCTTCCCCACGATTCTTATGGACCACCAGCACGAAGCATAGCTTTTCAAAATATAACCAGATGTGCACTAAAGTCACTAGATTGCAGAGACTACTGAATCCTCAGTCTTGCTGGAATGACCCAGACCAATTCGTTCCCCCTTCAGCCGTGTTCGTCCCTAGTCAGTAGTTCCAAATGTTCTATATCAGATAAGACGCGCTTGATTCATGAAAAGGTCTAAACATGATCGCCACCTGACCTGCACTATCAGTCTATGAACATATGACATATGCATCTTTTTGGGTGTCTTCGAACCACGCCTGAAACATAGCTTCCATCCGTCACACTGCAACTCTGTTCCAAAATAATGCTCTGGTTCTCCATCACTGCATCTGCTCTTCGTGTCCGGCTGAAAATGTCTGTCTAGGTCAAAGCAGTTCACGAACACTGCATCCTGCCTGGTGCCTTGATGGTGAATCCTACTGACGCGATCCAAGCTACACTGGTATCTTGAATAAACTCCCATACTTCACCTGAAACAGACTCCCCCATATAGTCGGACATGTGCCTGCGGCACTGCTCTTCAGATCAGCTCTTTATTTCAATATCTAATGTACATGTTCCAAGATAAGCGGCAGCGACAGGTGCCAGCCATTCGCCTTCAAATCACTACGCTCGGCTATCCCCTCAATATCACATAGCCCCTCAGCTCCCAAAGGTCTTTGCCGTTCAAAAGGCCTGCACTCCAAGAGTGGTTCCCTCTCCGGTAGACTCCAAGGCCATGGCGCCGGAATTGTGGTCCTCCACTGCGGTCCAAAGAGCTTGTTTCACTTTGTCCAAGTTGGACTGAGGCTTTTGCTTCTTTTCACGCTTCTCGGCAGGCGCCATGTCGACGTCCATGCCCTCGTTCTTAGCAGCCAAGTCCACATTCAAACGCTCGTTTCTCTGCGCAATGTAGCGCTTGTTTCTCTCGAGCTTCTTCGCTTTTTTCTTCAGGAGAGTCTGTGTGGTTACACCAGAACCCAACACTTCGGGGCCCATGTATACCGTGAGCCCTTTGGGATCCGTGGGCCTAGGGGCAGTGGCAGTATTATATCTTCCGGCCGAAGATCTGGTGGGGCCGACGGTGTTGGCCCTGAGCGTTCTTTTTTTGGAAATCACACCGGCATGACTGGCTCTGTTTATCTTGCCCAGGGGCTTGTTGACACTGTTTCTGGAAGGCATTGTGTGCTGGGTGAGATTTGGTGAATGTGCTGAAATTTGGGCCCTGCCTCGGATGCTAGAGATGAGATGGAGCGAAAATTCACCGTGCGCCTTGTACGCAGGTGCAGCGAGACTATTTTGACCCCGGAAAGTGCATGAACGCAAAAAAGTCGCCAAAAAAGAAACACACCCGGTCCGGGTCTTTTTTCGGATAGAGAGGTGCCGGTTGATTGAAATTTTGGATTCAGTCGGGATTGAATTGCTTTGAAAAAAAAAGACCAAGGGAAAAAAAGACCTCTGCCGGGGGTGAGTCGAACACCCGATCTCAAGATTACAATTATCAGTTACAGTCTCGCGCCTTAGCCAGCTTGGCCACCGAGAGGTTCTTGTTGAGGAGGGGAAAAATATGAGCTAAGTTTCACATAGCTTTTAGCCATTTCAATTCCTTTTCATGCCACAGGAAGAGTAAATTGGTGAATTCAAACTTCGCTCGCCAATTAAAATGCAATTAAAAAGCTAGCAACACAAAAACCACCCCAGAGAAGCCTTATCTACCCAAAAAAAAAGCTTACTAAAAAGAATTTAGGCCGCTAGTTAGCACATATCACCAACATTTCAGATTGTGGTTTCTTTTATTAAGTTTAATTCACAGAATGATCAGAACATGTTTCTTTGTTACTGAAACATCAGCCCAAGTGTTAAAAGTTATTTTTTCCACCTATTAAGTCATTACAGAAAATTCACTAGTCAGGAATGCAAATCTACGGTGTTCATGCCTGTTGGCGAGAGTTTTTAAAGATGATTTAAAAAAAATCACCTCCCATGGCTAGGATATCCCTCCATTTTCTCGGAACAATTTTCCATGAGCAAGCTACTATAGCAAACGACGTATGGCGTTCTACATCGCAAAATTCCTTCGGCCAGATAGCATAACATAATCCGCAAGAGTTTCGGTTTGAGTGGCTCCAAGTCGGTATGAAAACTAGACATTTGGTGCACAGCCACTGCGAAATTTTTTACATGAAAACCCTCCCTGAAAATCAGTTTCGTACCGGCCGCCGCATGTGCATTGGGTGTTTCAGCTAAAAATCTAAAAGGTTGATTATCATGCGTACTTTGAACAAATGCCGTAGTGAGATGGCATAACAAACTTTTGACTCGAGAATTTCTCATCTACTGAGGATTACACCCATCACTGAGAACACTTGAATTGGACCATGTGCTGGTGGTACGCAAAAATCACATTCACCAATTAGACTCGATATGAGCTACAAATCATGTTATTGATTCAAGCCAGAGAAAGGCTAAAGTTTTTCTCTTGGAAATTTGTTCATTCTTTCAATACTAAGCTACAAAAAGTTCGGGAAACTCACAAAATAAACATATATTAGGGAGCTGCTCTATATTTATCATTTATATAGTTTTGCTCCTCCATTCAGATGAATCTAAAAAAAAAATAGAGATATGGTGCCTTTCGCTCTTGAGCAATCAGAAACCATCTTCATTAAAATTTTATCTTGGATATTGAACGAAAATTGCCCAAGAAAAACGGACGTACATGTCTGCATAAACTTTTAAATAAACTATGAAACCTGACACTGTAGCTGAAAGCTTTAACGTGGAGGTGTGTCTTTTTCGTGCATGTCAATTTTTGCATGACGGTTCAAATCGCAAGATTCTCACTCAAATCCTGATACGAAATATTTCTGAGTCTGATCTACATTGAGCCTGTGATCGTTCCGCTTTTCGATGAATAAGATGAGTGTGGTTGGTTTGTCAAAACCGTTTTCAAGTTTGTTTTGACTATACTTAGATAGGCTGTGACACTCCTCTTGACCCATGGCCGTAAATTCTCTATGATAAAAACATTAAAGCAGCTCTGAGCATAGTATGAACCACATATTCACTCTGGGCTGATTAATGACCCAATTAACGCAAATTTTCAGTAAAACTGTCAATACAACCCATGAGACCACATTCTTTGAAAGAAGCACCATATTACAAGGTCCACTGGATACTCTGCCATATGCAATCATGAGAGAAAAGATGACGGGCAAGTAACTAATAGCCGACTACTAAGGCCCCAAAAAAAAGACGCAATAAACAGATGAATCTCCTATTCTGTCTTGACTCGTGCACGAAATACACATATCATCACATCTTATAGAACAATCGAAGAGTTTTTGCATTATTGTTTATCTGGAAGCTATAAACGCTTGTAACACTTTTCTCAACTCGAATCCAAAAGGGAGAAAGCTTATGATATTCTCATACAAACGTTTGGTGTCAGTAGTCAAGAAAAAATCTTTCGAAAGCAATGTATCAGGGCACATGCGTCCACCATCACGGCTAGCAATGCAAAGTACACAACGATGTTTTATCCAATATATAAAATTTGAAAGACACTAAAAAAAAAGTATCTTTTGAAAAAGCCAAGATGACTATACATTGATGTAAATCGAATGTCGTTTCCCAAAAGAAGGGCACTGGACAAAAAAAGAAAGCCTCTCCCGGGGGTGAGTCGAACACCCGATCTCAAGATTACAATTATCAGTTACAGTCTCGCGCCTTAGCCAGCTTGGCCACCGAGAGGTTCTTGTTGAAGAAAATGCTCTTGTTAAATATATTCTTAATATTTATTTACTTGATTTTCTTAGGTAGTTGTTTTCCTAATAAATGTGCCCAATATATGCTTCTCCAAGGCTACAATAATCTCAAAAACTAAGATGCACAGAATGTTGATAAACTTTTTGACACTAGGCGCGCTTTTGGAAGCTGTCCAAAGGTTTTATTTATTTTATGGTTTCGTTTCTTTGATCAGATGAATCTAACACAAAGAAGAAAAATCTTACAATTTCTGTAATCGTAAGAGAATCATGGGCTAATCGATACAAGCTGGTATCACCATTCATTCAGAGCTGTTTGAACGGTTGATGTCATTTTGGGTAATGAATTTTTGGGCGAGTCAAACGTTGTGGGATGGTCTTGATAGTATACCCTGATGTATGGCCAACTGTATTCGCTCAGACGTCTTTTGGTATGCATGGCGATCGCATATTATTGCAAGCGCTCGGCTCATTAAGAACAAGGCACATACCTCCAACACGTGTCCCTTTAACCGGGCAGCCTTAATTTTAGCTCTGGCAGTTGCTTCCCAAAGACTTTCAGTGGTGGGCCCAGCGACATCGTCGTTTTTATCCAACATTTCTGTCAGTTTTTGCTTGTCTTTTGTCCAATTTGTCACACTACAGCTCACTCTCTCAAAACGTGTCCAATAAAAGGCTACAACCTCTGCTCTAGAAAAACCATACATTCGACAAGTGCCCTTCAAAGTGTCATTTTGGTGGAGGGAGTTCAAAAAATTGACTTCTTGGACTTCCTCTCGAAGATGCGTTTGGCTTGAGTAGCTTCAAAACTAGCATTTAGTCCGCTGTGGTGGGCTTTCGTTTCGTATTTGGGAGCTGTTTGAATGTTTTTCTAACTTATATTATTTGTGTAGTTTTGCTCCCTTAATCAGATGAATCTAGCAAAAAAATCATAGGTATTCTTCAAGTTTTCATCTCCTGGTGAGGAAGTTCACCTGATGTGCATCATTCAAAAAGATTACATCCAGAATACTGGCTTTCGAATCAGAGCATCTGTAGTCTTTTCCTTGTTGCTCTCTCGTGCTCTTGTCTTGCGATCATCATATCCTAGATTTTTGAGAGTGTTCAAGTCACAATCGGAACTTGCAAATTAAGGCGAAATATTCAGTCAAAATAATACATGATTATCCTAGATAATCACAATCACTGAACATGGCTTTTATTGAACAACAGCACACGGCTGTTTGTTATACAAATTGTTTTTATTACATATATGCGAATCAGTATAGGCAGACAACAGAAGTGTCGTCACATTCTTCTATTGGATTCAAACAGATAGAAATTCTCTATCCTGACTAGTTTACATCATCGGTGCTACTTGCTGCTCCAATGCCGGCAAATGAAGGAAACGCCTGAATCTGGTCCAGTATGTTTCTTAAAGAAAACCAAACTGTGGCTTTGGCATACTTAGAAAGCACATAAAAGTTCCAAGCAGTTTTCGGCGCAGCAGCAACACAATATAGCTGCACAGCATCCACAGCAGCTGCTGCAGCAACCTCCGCCTCCATGATGTGGTTGTTGTTGTGCATATACAGGGGGTTGTTGTTGGTAGTATCCTCCTGGGGGACCATAAGGACCTCCTCCTGGTGGACCATATCCTCCTGGTGGGCCGTAATGACCTCCTCCTGGTGGACCGTGATGATGATTCTGTTTGTGTTAGTGATATTTCAAAAATGAGACAAGCGTTGGAAATCCCGGGGGTCTCAAATGGAGCTTGCAAATACGTGAGTAATATGCACATTTGACGAGTCTACATATTCTCTTAGGCCAATATTTGGAGCAGAATGATCGCTTCGATTTCGAAGGCCATACTAACAGTACCCTTCATATCTGTATGTATCTCTACATGACCAAATATCGCAGTATGTTACTGTCAGAAAACAGCCACTTCACCGGGGCACATCGGACATGATCTTGCAGGCACTGGCTATTAATTACAAGGCCTCCGGGCAGCTTCTTTGTTTTTATTTTGCTTCAATTGACACGTACCATTTATCTGAAAAGCGTGGGTAGTACGAAGGCTCGGTACGAGGCAACAGCCCACATATATAGCGCAACATTGAGCGTTGGAATGCAAAGGTGGCTGAAGTATTTGCATACCAATCATGTTTATATACAGCGTGTAAGAGGTTATGTGCATGATTCCGTCTCTGATTCAGCTGCGCACTGCCGCGAGCCAGTGACCATCGCGATGACTTGCCCTGATCCTTGCATAGTGTTCGCAAGGCTTGGAGAGGCTTTACCCTCGTTCAAAGAAAGTATGACCAGATATAATATGATTATTCTCACTACATTTGATACCTACGCGCGCAGATCTTGAACGATGCACCCAGAATTATTTGATTTCCCTGTGGTGGAGTGCATGCGGTCAATCTCGCAAAGACAGTTCCAAATGGCGTTTCATACCCCATGCTATATTTGGCACAATGCGAGTTTCTTCGAATGGAAAGCGTCCCTTCACAATTCTCAGAATCTGCTTTACTGAAAGTCATTTCTAATTTTGTTACAGAAACTTCCAGACCTAATATTGTTGTTTGAATATGACTCGGTTGTTGCGTACTTCCTGACTTTAAAAGGAAAGAAACCTTTCTGATTTTTGGTTATCAGTGTGAACATGTGGGTACATGTTCTACTTTTTTCTATGGCTTCACAGCTCGAACTGTTCTAGTGACCTATCCACGAATTTTATGTCAGAAAAATAAACAGACTCTCGTTCTTGAGCTTGGGGTGTAGCGCATCCGAATTAACGGCACATCCAAAGTGATTAATAACAATATAGGGACATATTTCTCCGGCTGAATCTCGTGGCAAGCGAGGACAAAATCCTCCTCGAAATTACAAGGACCAAGAGTCACAAGGATACCCAAAGTTCCGGCTTCGGCAAAGATTAACAATATTAATTAGTGTGCCCTGTACAAAATCTTGTGGGACTCGGGTGATCAAAACAATGCCAACACTCTGAATCTAAGGTTGCCGTATTTAAAAACCTAGTAACAGAACAGCAGATCAATAACAAGTATATGACCCACCGACCTGGAAAAGACATAAGAATAATGTAAGCATCATTAAATATGGGCATTATGCTCGAGTTTGAAAATAAATTCATTGTATATCGGTTTTTTCTAAGAGAAATGGACTCATGATGGTTCTACTGGCCCTTGAATTCGGGCAGGCAAAACAAAGAGGCCGTTGGGAAAAATAATACTTTACGCACTCCATAAGAATACCAGATGCCTGAGTTTTCCTCCTATCTGAGATTCTGATGATATCATAATGGCAAAATTGAATTGCTTGTTAGTAACGAACATGAATTCATACAAATCAGTTTATTCAAACTCTGAAAACCCAAGCGAAATTTAAATAAGCCGAATATGCACGTGGGTTTTATAAAACCCTTTTAGTGATATGCCACGATTACAGACTATAATAAGAGCGTCAGCGGCGGGGTATGGACATATTAATTTCTTGACAATCCAAAAGCCGAGCTTACTCGATTTTATTCATCCTGTTACTTTTGAAAGACAGCAAAACCATGAAAACACTAAATGCTGACCACTTTGTTGACCACTTTAAACTTTGCTTCAGGTGAGTGACCGATCATTTCTCTTGGCACGGATGGGCGTCACGTGTTCGCAGATCTCACCGAGATACCAGACACAGGCGAATCTCATATAGATATCAGATACAGAGGATGCAAGACAATTACGATAAAGCAGAATCACGTGCAACATACTATCTCAGTCTATCAGTCGTGATATCATTGGATGTAGGCTTCCAGAATCCTCTCAGGCTGAGATTGTTCCTATTTTGCAATGCGAATTTTCGTAAAATGAAGGCAGAATCAGCCTGCAAGATTTTGTTTCTTTCTGCTGGCTCTCCGGTGCTGTTGGTGCTCAGTAGTCTTCTCACTTCCTTCACCTTTCCGAATGAGTCCGAACCCATCCATTAAAATAAGCTTTCAGCATATATGGCAAAGCCATTCGCGGGGTAACACAGACCCAAACCAACGTGAGCTAATTTCCCCTCGTCTCTTCCCATCTTAGGCCAATAAGAACTCTTCTATAAAAGTCACATATAGATTACGAAAATTAGGGAACATTTGAAATGCAGTCTTCGGCTCCCTATGCGGTCACACCATGCATGCATGCGCTTCGTATGAGCTGCAAAAGAACTAGTAAGTACATATAAAAAGATAAGCTCTCGGCCCTCAGCCTTAGTTTCCTTCTCCCCCATTAAATTTTATTTTCTGTTGACAATGCGTCTCGCCGCTTTTTCGTTTTTGGCTGTTCCAGCCCTTGTCGCCGCCAATGACCTCGAAGATCTCTACAGCGAATTACTGACTATCTCCCCCACCGACGCAGCAGCTCTAAGCGAGTGGGAAGCATCTTATGCCCTGCTTGTAGAAAACTACTTTGGGTCGCTTTTCTCAATGATAAGCCTGCAAGACGGGCTTTTTCCAACCGTGGACGCAGAATTGGAGAGCTACTTGCTGTCCCGTATTGCTGTGTTGACTGAAGACTATGTTGACGACGACACTTACACTGCGTTTGACGAAGAGGACATCTATACCGGGTTGCAAGACGACCTCCAAACTGTGTTTGACGGTCTTTTCACTGCGTTTGACGACGACTACTTTGGCTTTCTAACCGATGTTTTTAGCGGCATTTTCACCGAGGCCATTAATCCTGCAACGGCAACTGCCACGACTTCCACATCCAGCAGCACTTCCAGCTCTCCATCCAGAATTTCTTCCTTTACTGGTGCTTCAATGACCCAGTCAGCGGCTGACTCTTCCGGAGCTGACTCTTCTGCTGCTGACTCTTCTGCTGCTGACTCTTCTGCTGCTGACTCTTCTGCTGCTGACTCTTCTGCTGCTGACTCCTCCTCGGCTGGCTCTGCCTCTGCTGGCACGTCCTCGGCTCAATCGTCGGCTGGCTCTTCCTCGGCTCAATCTTCGTCCACTGACACTTCATCTGTTGCCGGAATGGGTGGGCACCAGGCCCCCGCGCTTATCGGTGCAGCTTTGTGTGGAATCTCTGTGCTCTTTTTATAAGAGACTGGTGGCGAATAAATCCCTAACGAACTGGTTTCTGCAAGGATATGAGCCAAGGATTAGGTCCCTGGTGGGCCTCGGTCCTCGATTCAGATAAGCTGCATATAGCAAGCACATCCCATAATACTAATATGACTCTCGACTATGCACATCAGCATGCAGACTGCCTCGTAGTCCGCCCCAGCGTAGAGCCAGAAATTCCATGTACCAATTGGCACCGTGTAGAGTAGGATGAGGTATTGTGTACTTCTGCAAGCAGCCGCAGCCCTCTTAGTCAAGCTCGCTTAAAAAGTTGGGGTTGTTGGACAACTTCATCCGGAACTTGTCCCACCAATTATCAAACACTTTCATGGGCACTTTGCCCGTTGCATCTATGAACCCGCCCAAATAGTTGTATGCGTGCTTCACAATCTGGTTGGCCAACACGGCAATGTCCAGAGGTGCCTTTGGGGCCGCTGGCGCCTGGCTCGGAGGAAGCGTGATTGTTTTTTGCCTGGTTCTCTCCTGCTGCAATAACACCTCGGCCTCGACTGTCGGCTCTATGGATATGCCTATATTCAAGACTGTCTCCTCGCCTGCTACAGTCGTTTCCGCGTCATTCATCATGTCGTCTTCATCCAAAGTGTGGGAGGAGGACCGCAGGCCTGCGCCGGCATTTTTGAGCCGGAAAATCGACGACGGCTTGTTGGGATTCAAGCCTCCTAGTAGCTTAAACTCCGGCAGCGCTGGAAGCTGGAAGTACACGAGTGCTGTGAAGCTCAGATCCACGAACTCGGTCTGTGGGAGCATGAAGACTGCCACGTGACTAATGTTGCCTGCGTTAGGAATGCTAAATACATACTTGGTAGGCTCCACCTGCTGCGCTAATTGCATGGGTCTGCCTGAACAAACCGCGCCGAACATTGGGGTGAGCTTTTGCAAGTACAAGGTTCTCTTTTTAAAGTATAAAAATCTATCCCGAGAGCAGCGTGCAATTGGGTTGGAAAGGTGGTTTCTTTTGGTTTCCCAGTATTATCTCGATGCTTAGCTAGCGGTAGGAGAGGTAATACGGAGAGCGCTCGTTTGCCCTAAGTAGATATGGCGCGAGGTGCTGCATACACGCCCAGATGGACCGAGAATATTCTCGATTATTTTTTCCGCCGGCTCTTCACTTCTACTACTCTCTTTATCGAATTCGAGTGTTGCCGTCACTATTGCACAACCAGAACAGCAACAGCCTTGGACGGCTACCGTGTTTGGAATTTCTACTGTGATGGTCTCGTGACCTTAGCGCAAGGGCTTGAGTTTTGGCCACAAGACACGTGCAATATGCGGCACCGTTCGAATTTGTAGCTGGATGATTACTTAAGAAAAGGGCTGTTGCAGCTTCGGCCATTGACAGTTCTTGATACTACCGTCCTAAATTGACTACGCTGGACATATTCTCCATCTTTGAGCAAATTTTGCATAGATGAATATGGTGAAGAAGCATCGTTACATTCCTTCTCGTAGACTCTCTCTCAACCTGGTGTTCCTCGAGTTATTGCCGTGTTGAACACTCTAATTAAACACAATAGCAGTCTCTCATCAAGAGTCATCTCTTCGGTCGTTTGGCCTGGGGTTGTCCTGACGTGAGTATCTAGTATTATTACCAAAGACTTGGCATGAATTGTCCCCACCCAAAAGATCTCTCCGATAGTTCCCTGGGGCTCACAAATGTCTCAGCCCCAGAAAAGCCAATTCGAATGCGCCTGACGCGTCTTATGCCCTTCTCACCACTAACCATGTCGTGGCTAGGCCTCCTGCCATCATCACCACCTGGTCCTTGCCATCATAGATTTGGTTGAGGTAGTTGAAAACCACATCGTCGTCTTTCATAGCCCCGCAATTGCCGTGCTCGCCCCATCCCCACGCATGCACAGAGTTATCAGATAGAAGGACCAAGCCATGCTCACTGCCCACCTCAAATGCCACTATGGGACATGGCGCTTCGTACCTAAAGCACTGGCCATGCAGGTCGTTGCCCACGGAACGGATAGAGACTCCCGGAATGCCGCTGTTTCCTTCCAGAAGTCCAGTGTCTCCATCTCGACCACTGTCTTGTTTCCGAACGCCTCCACTTTCTGAACCGACGTCTCTGTTTTCTGCTCCCCTGCCGTCCTCCAAATAATGGAGAGACGACCACATAGCTTTGACTGTGTGTGTCTGAACGCCGATTTCCTGCGCTTCTGCTCCATGGACTTTGATGCCGGGGCCCACTGTAATTGTGCGGTCTCTACCCATACAAAAGCTGTCTGAATGCTCGAGCTGTAAGTGCTCTGGAAGCCATACAGCAGGCCGCGGCTTGCTTTTGCCGGAGGCGGCCACTACGGGTGGCTGTGGGCCAAGCTGGCCTTTTCTTGCCGCACCCCAGCCGACATACGAGCCGTCTTTAAGCTCCACCACAGTGTGGCCTATCGAGCACTTGAAGTCGTGCACCTTGCTGTTTTCGGGAAGCGGGACTTTCTGGAGGCTGCGTGCCAAAACACAGCCCTCGCCGAGCCCAAGCTCGCCCTTGGGACCGGATCCACAGCTGTAGAGCTGATTGTCATGCGACCATAATACCGAAAACTCCCACCCGGCCGCCACGCGTTTCCACTGTCCCGGTACCCTCGTGAACACTTTCAATACCAGCGGCGAATTCACGCCACATTGGCCAAATTCATTGCTGCCCGCCGCGAATAGCTGGCCTTCCGGATATAGAACAAACGTATGGTTGCCTCCGAACGCCATGAGCCTCGGCTGCACGTGACCCATTTGCTCGAGGCCAGGCACGTGCTGCAAAGAGTCGTGGTCCTTATCATTTCCAAGGCCTAGTTGGTACAGACCGTTCGACCCGCAGGCTAGGATGTGGAAAGACATGAAGTTGCTACCAGTCCCAGCCATGAGAGGCTCTAGCTGCAGGAAAAGAACGGGCGTCCAGACATGTCACATGACTGGCTCCGAGGTCTGACAGGACGGATGTTGCTTTTCTTCTGAGCTCTTGGCCTATTAGAATACACATTTGTTCTCCAGACGGGAGTCTGTTCTGGACTTGGGTCTGGATGCCTAGTCTAATTTTGCAGTCGCAACCGCGACTGGCCTGCTGGGGTTGTGATTAGATGGCCTGGGATGTGCAATAAGTGCACCACAATAAGTTTCTCTTTTAGTGGCTGCGAGTTAGCGAGTTATTGAAGCGTGGTGCTTTGTTGCGGCCTCTCCGGTCTGTTCTAATGATCGTGGTGTATTTTTGTTTGCCGTTATAATATTTCTCAATTTATCAAATCCAAAGCATAAAATGCGAAAACAGTCGGACGCATCTCATTTGTTGCCTCATTCATTAGTCTTTCAATAAGCAAGATATAAAAAGCGATTCTTCACTTTTAGGAGTTTCCTGTGGAGCGAAAAGACTGGCTTATGCCAAATTCCTATGTACGTCGTCATTCGGGAATTGTCATACTGTCGTAAGTGAAGTGTGCCTCACCCAGTCACTTGACGAGCTGTATGAGCATTGCTGGGAACTCATTGATATGATTTAAAAGCACACAAGAACCAACACAGAGCTTGCTTTGAAAAAAGGCCTTGAAAAAGAAAATCATGTTTCGTAAAGCTAGGCCCATGTATCTTCAGAGGCTGGAAGATGAGCTGGAATTGCTTCCGAAAAGCTCTCTACCGAGCAGAATGGCTGACGCGATAAGATCCCTCTCCAGCACTTTAGTTTAAAATCACATTTCCGCAAAAACTTTTGAGTCTCATGACATAAGCTACTTAGATACTGGAGACGCCTCAGCATCTCTGGCCGGTTTCCATGACAAATGTGGAACGTTCAAGAACTGGCGGCGAGAGTTCCAGCTTGGCTTCATCGTAGGCTGATCGCAGAAACGGAGAGCCTAAAACGGTTGATCACCATGGTGTTTACGACCTACCCCAAGACACCGACTCAATAGAATCAGTTGCCAGCTTCGTTGCCATATGCAATTGGGTTCTAGAAAGAGCAGTAGAAGGTCGCAGAAAGAATGAAAGCTGGCCATGAAAGAATACTATGTAAGCGAAGTATACTTGATACGGCCACGAGGCTAAGAGCCTTTTTTTGGACTATACAATTTTGTTCAATGGCCCATACTTCGGTCAAAGCCAGTAAAAAAGCAGAACTTCGCAATGGGAAAGTAGATCGAAACACCCACGTTTCAGATGCATCACATTAGTGCATACTTGGCCAGCAGGGCATTACTTTTTTGGATATCTCAGAAACGGGCTCTGCCGAACAAGACCTAGAGCCGTGAATCCGGAAGCTAATGGGAGAGACACTAATGTCGAAGCAGTCTGATCACCACTGGTTCCGTACACCAGGACCGGCTCGTGCAGTTCACATTATTCTTACTGTGAGAGTCTCACCGCCTCCAGCTAACGACAAACATACGAATTCCGGCCGACTACAGGCGTTTCCAACTCAAAACACACTCGTAGGACGGAATTTCTTTTAAATACAGCGTCCATTCATGACGTTGTCGTGAAGACATGTATGCGGCAGGGCGGAGAACAAAACACAAGAGCTGCTAATTAGTCGCTTATCGTACCCAACCGAGGGAAAACCTTATCATGTTGGTACGGTACTTCATCAAGTCGGCGAAGACAACAAACTCGAGGGAGTAGTGGCTTACTAGTCTGGAAGGTTATCGAGAACATGAACAACTGAAGATTGTCGAGGAAAACCATTCTCAATCACACGTGCGCCGAAGAAATGAAAACACTGCCTTGCAAGCAATTGTTCTTCAGACATCACTCACTACAATTCAGGTTGGAGCCACAACAATCTCATGAACGAAAAACAAAAGTGTTTTATTTCTCGAAGCAATCCTACACTGACACTGACTATGTCTAGGATCTTCAGAACGTGGCGATAAGCACAAAGCCGCCACTGACAGAAAGAAGAATTTGGGCGCTTCGCCCGCTAGAATGAGCCCGTGGTCGCGCGGCTGCTAATTTCAGCACCGGGCCCGGCTCTCTGTTCTCCTGAACAACACGAACAACTGAAATAAAGCCCCAAAAACCAAAAAACAAAACCAAAACCAAAAAACAAAACCAAAACCAAAAAACAAAAACAAAACCAAAAAACAAAACCAAAACCAAAAAACAAAAACAAAAACAAAAACAAAACCAAAAAACAAAGAAAAACAAAATATTCAACACACCCTTTAAGAAATCTTGTTACTGAGACATGTCCATGTAGCCTCCCGCGCGGCGCGTCTGGCCTACCGACGCGGCCCCAGCGATGGCCCTGGACCTGGGTAGCATTACAGCCAGATGCGGCCCCAGAAAACAGGGCCATACCGAGCGACCATCCAAACGCCCAAGCAACCACCCCAAGCCATTACCAAGCCAAAATCCCAAGAAAGCCCCCAGCAACACCGAAACAAACCCGAAACAGCACCAAAACCAAAACCCAAGCAAAAAGCAAAAAAAAAACCCAAACGACCAAAAAAAAAGCCAAAGCACAACCATAAAAACGCCCCAGAGCCGCGACCCATGCCCAAGCCGCGGCTCGAGTTTCGCCCGGTTCGTGGGCCCATGCATCGCGCCCATCGTCGCCCAGACGCGCTCGCTCAAATTTTAGGGCCTGCCATCTGAGCACGGCCAGCACCCCAAGAAAACGGCACCCAGGCGCCAGGCATCCACCACCCCGCAGCACAAACAGCCCCGGAAACACGCAAACGCCCCCTGCAAAAAACCTCGCTTACCAGCACGAAGCATCTGCCATCCCCGCTTTCCTGTTGCAGCCATGGATCCCGCCACGCCGCACAAACACGGCTCCCGCCCCGCCACTTTGCAGGTGCCCAGCTCGTCGCCCATATCCGGCCTTGGCCCGGCGCCCAGAGACGCCAGAATCAAAATGGACGCCAGAAATGAAAAAGACGCCAGAATCAAAATGGACGCCAGAAATGAAAAAGACGCCAGGTCTGCAAAAGACGCCAGGTCTGACATAGACATCGGCACCAAAGGCACCAGAGACACCCAGCACCGCGAGGAAATGCGCCGGCGCTTTCATGCGCACAAGTTCTGGCCCGTTGTGCGCCGGCGCTTCTACTACCTCTCGGAGCCAGAGCTCTTCAAGGCCATGGTCAAGGGCAAGGGCAATCTCCGGGACATCAGCCAGTGGCTAGCCGAGAACATTCCGTTGAACGAGCGCTTGTTGCAGTACGACGCCGCCCAACAGGCGCAGCTGGCCCGGGACGACCGCCGTTCGGAGGCCGGCACACATAACCAGGGAGCACATAACCCGGGCGCACATAACCCGGGCGCACATAACCCGGGCGCACATAGCCAGACGCCCCGTGGCCCCGCCGGCGGGCTCTCTGACGAGGACGCGTCGCCCGTCAAGGCGCCCGGCAAGGCGCGCCAGAAGCGCAGCGCCCCCGCCGCCGAGCCTGCCGCCGTGGCGCCCGACACCAAGGTGCACCTCCTGAAGCCCAAGGTGTCGATCTTGGAGAAGTACCGCGCACGGCAGCAGCCCAAAATCGACCACTTGCTCCTGCGCTCCGCCGCCTGCGAGGACCCCAAGCGGCGCCGGCTCATGCGGGCCGACCGCGTGGCGCCGCTCGTGATCTCGGAGCCGGGCGCCGGCTCGGCGCTGCTCCTGCCCGCCGCGAGACTCGCGCAGAAGTTCGCGTGCCGCGACGACGAGGTCCCCAAGCTCAAGCAGCTGCGCGCGGGCGACGCCGTGGCCGTGGACGAGTTGGACGCGCTCGAGGAGAAGATCCGGGCCAACCGCAAGAAGGGCCAGGCCATCCGCGTGGACAGCGACGCGGACCTCGAGGAGGAGGTGTTCAGCGACGACATGTCCGAGGAGGACATGGACCACTACGCCGCGGGGCTCACGTCCATCGACGCGCAGATCCTCGAGTTCCTCAACCAGGCGCCCGTGGACGACCTCGCGGAGATCTGCAACGTGCCGCCGCAGACCGCGGAGTCCATCGTGGCGAAGCGCCCGTTCCGCTCCATCTACGAGGTGTCCGAGGACAAGTTCGAGGAGGACACGCCCGGCCCGGAGTCCAAGCGCAAGTATCAGCGCAAGCCGCTCGGCTTGAAGATCGTCGAGCGCACCGAGTTCAGCTTGAAAGGCTACCGCGCCGTGGACTCGTTGGTGAAGCAGTGCTCCGAGTACGGCAAGTTGATCTCCCGCCAGATGGCCCGCTGGGGCGTGAAGGTGACAGGCGAGGGCGAGTTGGACATGGTCGACGTCAATTTCGGCTGCACGGCCGAGGGCTCTGCGAACGGCGACACTCTCGCCACCGCCGACCACGACCACAGCCACGACCACGACGACGAAGACGACGACTTGTCCGCCACCACCAAGCGCGGCCTCCCCTATGTGAAGCACAAGCCCACGCTTCTTGCGCCGGACATCGAGTTGAAGACGTACCAGCAAGTGGGAATCAACTGGTTACACTTGCTCTACCACAACAAGCTCTCGTGCATTCTCGCAGACGAGATGGGGCTTGGCAAAACCTGCCAGGTCATCTCATTCATGGCGTACCTCAAGTCCACCACCGACAAGCCGCGCCCGCACTTGGTCGTGGTGCCGTCATCCACGCTCGAGAACTGGTTGCGTGAGTTCCAGAAGTTCTGCCCAGAAATGGTCGTGCAGGCGTACTACGGCCTGCAAGCCGAGCGGGAAGACTTGCGTTACGAGTTGGTCGACACCGAGTTCGACGTGCTTGTCACCACCTACAACTTGGCCACGGGCGGTGCCTCGGACTTCAAGTTCTTGCGCAGCCAGAACTTCGATATGATCGTCTACGATGAAGGCCACATGTTGAAGAATTCCAACAGCGAGAGATACAACAAGCTCATGAGGCTCAAGGCGGGCTTTCGCTTGTTGTTGACGGGAACGCCGCTCCAAAACAACTTGAAGGAGTTGGTCTCCCTCTTGGCGTTTATGCTTCCTGGGCTATTTGTCGAGAAGCGCGAGGACTTGCAGGGACTCTTCAACAAGACTGCCATGCTCAACAGTTCCAAGGACTACAATCCGCTCTTGTCCCAGCAGGCTATCAACAAGGCCAAGACCATGATGACGCCGTTTGTCTTGAGAAGAAAAAAGGCACAGGTGCTCAAGTATCTCCCCGAGAAGAGTCACCAGGTGGCCAAATGTGACATGACACCCACACAGAGAGACATTTACGATGAATATATCAGACAGGGTAAGCAGACTAAGTTGGAGAGGGAGAGAAGGAAAACATTGACTGGCAAGGCGGCAGAGGAAGCCAAGGCGGCGCCTGTGCAGTCGTCGTCAAACGTGATGATGTCCTTGAGGAAAGCTTCCATGCACCCGCTCTTGTTCCGCCGAATCTACACAGACGAGAAATTACACGAAATGAGCAAGAGGATCATGGGTGAGCCCCAATATGTCGATGCCAATCGGGAGTACATTGTGGAAGATATGCTGGTCATGAGCGACTATGAGTTGAATAGTTTGTGTGAGAAGTTTCCCAAGTCACTAGGCTCGTTTGTGTTGGAGGAGCTGAAATGGCTTGATAGCGGGAAGGTGACCAAGTTGTTGGAAATCATTCGCTCCGTCATCGGGCGCAAAGAGAAGGTTTTAGTATTCTCGCTTTTCACGCAGATGCTCGATGTGCTCGAAAAAATCTTGAGTTTTGCCAATATCACGTTCGTTAGATTGGACGGACAGACAACTGTCGATACGAGACAGGACATCATTGACCGCTTTTACGAAGACGAGTCTATTCCTGTGTTTTTACTTTCAACAAAGGCAGGCGGATTCGGAATCAATTTGGTGGCAGCAAACAACGTTGTGATCTTCGACCAATCTTTCAATCCACACGACGACAAGCAGGCCGAGGATAGAGCACACAGAGTTGGTCAAACACAACAAGTGTTGGTGACGAAACTCATCTCCGAGAACACAATAGACGAAAACATCTTGATGCTTGCCGAAAACAAATTGCAGCTCGACCATACGATCAGCAATGAGCCGAACGATACCAAATTCGAGGAAAAGGCCGCTTCTATGTTCGAGAAGCTTTTGTTTGACAAGTAGCTTCAAGATTTTTCAAAAAAGGATTCCTTGAAACTCTGAAGAAATCATCCAAAGTCAGATTCAAGATTTATTTAATCTATTAGAAATAGAAAGAATTGCATTGGGTGCAAAGCCTGGAAAAGAAACGCGCGATCGCAGGCCATTGGCTCTGGTCGTAGTGAAGGTGCACGGGTGTGAAGGCAAGCGCGACAGTTGAGGCATGATAGAGCCAGATCATCTAATCACATCGGTGTTTCTTCTTCAACTTGCACATTTTCCCACAACATGTTTTCCAGATCACTACTCAACACACTGTTGAAAGCAGTTCTACCTCGTGTATCTCCAAGAGTGTCATTACCCCTCTCATGGAGCAGGAATCTCTTCATCCAAACTGCTGACACACCAAATGAGAACGCGTTAAAATTCTTGCCCTCCATGAAGATTTTGGGAGAGAGTGAAACCATGGAGTTTTTGAGTGGGAGAGAAGCAGCATGCAGCCCTTTAGCAATGAAGCTCTTCTCAGTGGATGGTGTGAAGTCTATCATGTTGGGGCCCAACTTCATCACCATTGAGAAGGTGGATGAAAGTTTTGAGTGGGCACTTCTAAAGCCTGAAATATTTTCCATTTTGACAGAAGGCCTCACCAACGGTACTCCTATTTTGGATGGATCTGAGCTTTCTAAGGATATCGGATTTGACGAAGAGGACGACGAGGTGATTTCCATGATCAAAGAACTCATCTTCACGAGAATTAGGCCCGCTATTCAGGATGATGGTGGTGATATTGAGTTTGTGAATTTTGTTGAGGAAACAGGTACAGTATTTTTGCGGTTAAAGGGTGCCTGTAGAACTTGCGACTCTTCTTCGGTTACACTTAAAAACGGAATTGAAAGTATGTTGAAGCACTACATCGAAGAAGTGGAAGAGGTGAAACAAGTTGAAGAGGAGGTTGAAGAGGCCGATGAGTCGTTTGCCAAGTTTGAGGCAGCCAAGATAGTGCCGCAGTCAAGAGAGGACAGCAGTACGCTCCCTCCATCTTTGTGAGACGCCCCGCACTTGCTAAACTTGTAAATAAATGCGTAAGACTTTCAATGTGACATCAAAATACTCACATCGGTGACACTCGTCTCATTTTTTTTCGCATGGGTCCCCGTGCCCTTGAGTATCGCAGGGCGATGATGGTGTTTTCAATAATGGATTGTGATGTTTCTGTTACTGGAGAGCGAGTCTCCAAATTCTACTGTGACTGCACGCATGTAAATGAACAGGACCACACTTGGTGGGATTGTTGAATTGAGGACTAAATTCAGGCGCCCGTAATCAAGGGACTGTGATATGAGAGTATGTGAAGGTGAAGACAGAACCTGTTATCTCTGGTAGTCTGTGTAGTTCTTATCCGTTATGTTTATTGGAGATCATTTCCAGTATATTGTAGGAATTTGTCTGCATTGTGTCATTTGCAATATGCCAAGTATTATTTGTTACTGACTTCAGTTTTTATTTTATAGTTGAAAAGAGTATGAAACTAGCTTTTGTTTCCTTGTGCAATAAATGAATCTACCCTTGAAAAATTCCAGATAACCTCAAATTGACTGCATATCAAGCCAGTCAAATTGACATTATTCTCAGAAACTGAGCCACTAAAATGTGGAGCGATACTTGTTGAGTACTTGTTTGAGAACTGTCAAGATTCGCATATACGTATTGGTATTCTTTTGAATACAGGGAACTATAAGAATGATTGCTCTCAAAATTCTATTTTTTTAAAGAAACAAAATTGCCAAAAAGCGAGTCCACAAGCTCATTGTCTCAGGTAGGGATTATCACAAGCTAAATAGCAAGGTATTCCGAGATTGAGTTTCTAAAAAATTACCGGGGCTTTTCGGTGGATGGCATCTGCGGTATTGTATAGAAAGGCGGCCTGATACCCTCCGATGACAACGTACTTAAAAAGCTCACTTCTGCGACTCCCCACGTCTTCCAGTATATTAATTAAACTTTTTTTTAATATCGTGGTGATGAACCAATTCATATTTTATACCGAACGTAAATTCAAGGGGTTCAGATTTGATTTCTGCAAGCAGAATATCTTAACTGTGAACTTTATTGTCGCGACAAGGCTCCAGGGTTTCCCTTTTTAATTTCAAGAGACTGAATATGTTGAATTCGCTCTTATAAGATTTGTTATGATACGACATGAGCCAGATTATAGATTCTGGGCATCCTGTATAATACGAAGGACGAAGAGTCTAAACATTCCTGATCGGGGTTACCCCTCACCTACTGTATAGAAGGGTTCCGAACTATAAAGGAGCGTGAGGCTGAGACATCCCTGAAGAAGGATAACACTTTTTAGAGATCGAGAATACGACAGATAGACTAGGCCTATCCACTAAGGCT